GGGGGGGGTCTCTGATGTCCCAAATTTGGGGGATCCTCGACGTCCTGGGTGTCCCATATTTCGGGGTCCCCCTCCCCATTTTTGGGGTGCCCCCAAATTTTTGGGGTCCTCGATGTCCGGGGGGGTCTCTGATGTCCCAAATTCGGGGGGTCCTCGACGTCCTGGGGGGTCGCAGATTTCGGGGTCCCCCCCCCATTTTCGGGCTCCCAGATTTTGGGGTCTCCCCCATTTTTGGGGTGTCCCCCCCATTTTTGGGGTCCTCGATGTCCATGGGGGGGTCTCTGATGTCCCAAATTTGGGGGGTCCTCCATGTCCAGGGGGGGTCCTCGATGTCCTGGGGGGGTCACAGATTTCGGGGTCCCCCCCATTTTCGGGCTCCTGGATTTCGGGGTCCCCCTCCCCAATTTTTGGGGGTGTCCCCCCCATTTTTGGGGTCCTCGATGTCCTGGGGGGGGTCTCTGATGTCCCAAATTTGGGGTATCCTCCATGTCCTGGGGGGCCCCACTGATGTCCTGGGGGTCCCAGATTTTGGGGTCCCCCCCATTTTTTGGGGTCCCCTCCCCATTTTTGGGGTCCTCGATGTCCATGGGGGGGTCTCTGATGCCCCAAATTTGGGGGATCCTCCATGTCCTGGGGGGTCCTCGATGTCCTGGGGGGGTCGCAAATTTCGGGGTCCCCCCCATTTTCTGGCTCCCAGATTTTGGGGTCCCCCCCATTTTTGGGGTCCTCGATGTCCGGGGGGGTCTCTGATGCCCCAAATTTGGGGGGGTCCTCGACGTCCTGGGGGTCCCAGATTTTGGAGTCCCCCTCCCCAATTTTCGGGGTGTCCCCCCCATTTTTGGGGTCCTCGATGTCCTGGGGGGTCGCAGATTTTGGGGTCCCCCCCATTTTCAGGCTCCCAGATTTCGGGGTCCCCCCCATTTTCGGGGTCCCACTCCCCATTTTTGGGGTCCTCGATGTCCTGGGGGGTCCCAGATTTTGGGGTTCCCCCTCATTTTCAGGGTCCCACTCCCCATTTTTGGGGTCCTCGATGTCCTGGGGGGGTCCCAGATTTTGGGGTCCCCCTCCCCATTTTTGGGGTCCTCGATGTCCATGGGGGGGTCTCTGATGCCCCAAATTCGGGGGGTCCTCGACGTCCTGGGGGTCACAGATTTCGGGGTCCCCCCCCCCATTTTCGGGCTCCCAGATTTTGGGGTCTCCCCCATTTTTGGGGTGTCCCCCCCATTTTTGGGGTCCTCGATGTCCATGGGGGGGTCTCTGATGTCCCAAATTTGGGGGGTCCTCCATGTCCAGGGGGGGTCCTCGATGTCCTGGGGGGTCACAGATTTCGGGGTCCCCCCCATTTTCGGGCTCCTGGATTTCGGGGTCCCCCTCCCCAATTTTCGGGGTGTCCCCCCCATTTTTGGGGTCCTCGATGTCCATGGGGGGGGTCTCTGATGTCCCAAATTTGGGGGGTCCTCCATGTCCTGGGGGGCCCCACTGATGTCCTGGGGGTCCCAGATTTTGGGGTCCCCCCCATTTTTT